GTCAAAACCAGTGTGACAGAGTGCTTTACAAAATTAACAAATTACACACAGTAAAGTGCACTTTACAGTCCATGTCTTTTTATGTATTTTAGCAGCAATACTTTGTTATTTCAGTACTAAAGCAATACTTTGTAAAATGTTCCATGTTAGTTCCTGGGAAAATGGATTAACCACATTAACTGGAGGTCATCTGGGTGTTTGAGACGCTATAGAATGAAAACATTTGTTCCAAGCTGGTCTCCAAGTTTAGGCTGCAGACTGTAAAAATGGGCTATTGTGCTCCTTTATGTCTCTCTGCTGAAATGTAGTAATGTTTCCTGTGGAGGTGGTGAAGTTCAGATGCTGCTGCTGCTTCAATTGTCCATTCAGCTTTTAGAAACCCTGTGAAAGGAGGAAAGGGAAGTGTGACGATGCATTTCACATCACATCACTGAGATTTATTTTTTTCATCAGCACCACCAAGTGAAGCAGCTTTTCTCTTTCCTTCCTCTCTTTGGAGATGTCTCTGCAGGAGGCTCTGTGTTGTGCATAGCAGATTTCCCAACAAAGTTAAAGATGCATGGACCATTGTGTGAGTGACTGGCAACTTTCCCTCTTTTTTTCTCCCCCATCTTCCCCCATCCCTTCTGTCAGTCTGCCATAGAGAAGTTGACCTGGAAAGACCGTCTTCCTGGATACTTCATTAATGTTTCCTCTATCCTCTTCATGGTAAGTACATCAAAATCAGGTTAGTACGTAGACCCATATTTAAGGAAGAAAGCACTTAAATGGAACATATTTATGATGCAGTTAATGTATAGACGTGAGTGTGTGACTGACCTACATCCATGTCTTCCTTGAAAAATTAATTTGAACCACTGCAATGCCACAATCTGACAAATATGACCGAGCAGTGACTGATTTGTTTCCTCTCGTTTTCCTTTATTATGTGCTCATAGTTTGGGCTGACATTTTCTGCGGTTTTCGGTGTCATCGTCTACCGGATCACAGTGTCGGCTCTGATGGCGATGAGCCCCGACCCAGAGACCAAGTCCAACGTTCGAGTGACGGTGACAGCTACTGCAGTCATCATCAACCTCGTGGTTATCCTGATCCTTGATGAAATCTACGGTGCTGTGGCGCTGTGGCTGACTGAGCTAGGTACAGATACGAATACAGTCATTTTACTCTTGTAAAGAACAGTGGCTTAAAGAACTCAATACAATGTGACTCTTGAAAACATGGATAAACTTTGTAAACACACAAGATTAACGTGTTAGAGCAAGTCCTAGTGGCTAGCCTAACAAGCAATGTCAGAGTCACACCAGAGTCCTTTTGGGCTAGTTTTGTCAGCCAGCGTCAAGACACCACTAGGCCGTTATTTCAGGCTAACAAGACCAAGTCCTGATCTACATAAATGAGGAGAATGCTATCTGTGTATTCAAATGCTACTGCACATGCACACACAGCGATGTCATGAACTCACTGATTACAGAACAGGTGGACACAAATGCGCGACACAGAATGGGTTCAGGCAACAGACAGGTTTAATGACAGGCAGGGTTCGGTACACAGGAGTTCAGTCACTCAGGCAAAGGTATCCAAGAATTGGCAGGCAAGGTCCAGAAAACAGAAACGAGGCCGTGAAACAATCAGGCAGAGGTATCTAGAAATCGTCAGGCAGAAGGCAAGGTCCAAAAAACAGAAACAAGGTTGTGAGCAAACAGACTGTGACTTGACTTGAATAACGCTGGTAGGAGGACTGTGAAGTGCAACGAACTGGCGACGAGACAGAAGGTAATATACAGGAGGTAATGAGGGGAGATGGGAAACAGGTGCGGGAAAGCCATCAGGGAGCAGGTGTGACAAGACAGGTGCAGGAAGTAAAACTGGAACAGAAGCAACCGGTAAAGTGATTTCAAAGTAAAACACAAAAGACAGGACATAAAATGTGCACACATGGACAGAGACTTGACGGACATGACAGGCGAGGTGGGAACCATGTGTCATACAACCAATGTCTTTGGCATCCCATAATTATTATGTATGTGTAAATATGTATATAAGGGCTGGTGGACTGATATTTTCGTTTCATTAGGCCCAGGGTAGCTCTTCCTCTGCTTTCACTCTTGTTGGCCAAGCTACCCATGTCCTGACTTTATATTAACCAGACAGATGTGTCAGTGGTATAAATCTATAAATGTAACTCTCAGCACTAAAGTAAATAAGCAAGAATATGTCAAAATTCTCCTCTTATACACCTGTTAGGTCCAAAATGCCATCAATCAGTGTTTAAAGCTCATCCATGTCACTTGTTCCTTATGTCCAGAATGACAATTTTTTATTTATTTTTTTTAATATGAAGCCATATGCATCTGATGAACAAATCCAGTTTTTTACATGTAATTATCTTTATCTAGTTGTGTGTGAGAGAGAGAAAGTGACTGCATTTTGGTGGACAGCTTGATAAAACTTTGATGTTTTCATGCTCCAGCCGTCCCATCAGTCATCCCAGGAGGTTTCACCCACATTTTCATTCATATTCACAACCATTGGAAAAGGGGGAAACATTTGGAAGGAGAAGTGTGAGCAAGACGGAGTGTGTGAGTGTGTGAGCGAGGGAGAGAGAGGGAGAGAGAGGGAGGGGATGTGCACTGTGAACACTGTCAGTATTTAACCTACTTCCAGCACGGTGATGCCGTTATAACTCTATTCAAGAGTCAGACTGACAGAATCCCCATTTTTCTCACAGCCATACTATAGAAAACACACATGGAAAACTGTAACCTTTAACCCCACATGCTGTACATACATTCCACTTCATGTTTCTTGTTGTATTTCCATAACCTATATTTCACGTCACTGTCATTTAACCTGCTCCGTTCTCGAGCCCCTCGCAGCTCTCTGACCTCATAAAACAACCGATGTCAGCTCTTTCTTACACTTTCATGTTAACTATTTTTCAGAGATTCCTAAAACAGAAACCAACTTCGAAGAGCGTCTCATTCTGAAAGCCTTCTTACTCAAGTTCATGAACGCGTACGCTCCCATCTTTTACGTGGCTTTCTTCAAGGGACGGTAAGACCTGCTTCCATATGTGTACTGTATGTGAAATCCCAGTTTATGAGAGTTTACCTCAATGTCACTACTGTGTTCTTTCTGCTTGTGTTTGTATGTTTCTGCAGGTTCGCGGGTCGACCTGGAAATTACGTGTACGTCTTTAATGATTATCGGATGGAGGAGGTTCGTTATTCATCTTTGAATCTATGTTTATCTTCACTAGGCTGAACAAATAAAACACACGGCAGTAATGATTATGTGTTCAAACCGAGTGTGTGTGTCCCTTAGTGTGCTCCAGGAGGCTGCCTCATTGAGTTGTGCATTCAGCTCAGCATCATCATGCTCGGGAAGCAGCTAATCCAAAACAACATCTTTGAGATCGGCATCCCGTAAGTCCACTTCTTTCCTCTCGTTTATGTGACCACTCAGTATGAAGTTTGGAATTTCAGGAGTCCAGAGAAGCAAGAAAGAAAGCAGTCACATGAAAAAAAAATGTTGTGACACTTCTCTGAAACTTCATCCAAATACCTACATACTCACAGGCTTACTCATAAGGTCCTACAAGATTCCCTCCTGGAGTAACATTCCTTCAACGTCTGTACGGTGGTACTCCATCTTGTGTTGTAGCTCAGCTTTTACATACAAATCCCAAAGGCTATAGTTGAGTTTTGTTTATAACAACTGTCACACAACAGAGGTGCCTTGTGGCTTCAGGCTGCACTGTTACTGTTGCTGTAAGCACAGCTTGACCCCTGACCGGTTAAGTGAGCCTCATCAAATGCTCTGGTTTTCATAGGACGTCCTGAGGGATCAGCGAGCCGCAGCACATACAAAAATACCATCTACATACCATCTACTCAACTCCTTCACTTTCATCCGCTTAAAAGCTTTCACACCTGCAAGGTGACCAGTAAAATCCCAGTCTCATACTGTGGCTCAGTGGGAAGTTTTTATGGGGGGGACTGGAGAGCTGCAGAGTGATGGCACGGTGTCAGACAGTGGTGTTAAAAAGATGTGACCCTAAATGCTCCTGTCTAAATATGTAAGGGATGGTCTGTTTAAAACAAAAGAAGCAAAACTTGAACAAATTCAAACATAAAGTAACACTGCAATAAACATTTAATTGGAACTGAGGAAGGCAGTATTTTGAGGCCATATTGGGGAAAATATTCCACACTGCAAGTTCGTGAGACTGGTTACTGCATATGAAGGTTTGAATCTGTGTTTTTTTTTTAAAGCTATCATTAGTACACTGTAGTTTCAAGGTAAAAATGCTCAGCCATTCTGTTGATTGCTTATGTAGCCCATGATGCGTCATATAAAAACACCATATGGACACGTTAACAAGATAAAAACCAACTTGATTACTAGCAGAGGAGGTCTTTAAAGGATTTCAAGAAATGCGTAAGACTTTCTGTGTGATTTGTGATATATCCACCTGGACTTTTTCAATGCATCGTTAATGCTCGTTAAAACTCTACTATGCAACAAGAAACTCTTGTGGTGACTGTGTCCAGAAGTGCTGTTGACTTCTCTTGGCTTGGAGGCAACAGCAGCGAACCATCACACAGTGGAAACGTGAACTGTGGTCAGACGAATCAGTATTTCTGGTCTGTTTTGAAAGAAAAGAAGCGTCCAGACTGTTGGCAGGAACAAGGCCGTGATTTGTCATGGTGTGGGCTTGTGTCAGTGCCCTTGGCAAGGGTAGCTGACAATTTGCACCACGTTGAAACCAACCTGCAGATTTTAAAGCAACATCAGCTGGCTTGAAGACAACAATCTTTTCTATAGGCACGCTTGTATGTTCCCCCAAGACAGCGTAAAACTACAAGCTGCACACGTTACAAAGGTATAGCTGCCTAATGAGAGGGTGTAAATGCTGAACTGGCCTGTCTGCAGTTCCAGCTTGTCCCTGATAGAGAACATGGGGAGCATTTTGAAATGCACTTTAAGAGTTGTGCACAACAAATGGTACAAAATTACACTGGAAAGACTCAATTACTTCAGTCCTAGACATTAAGTAAGTGTTGTGAAACTGATGTGCTATTGTTCTGTTTTTAATGTAACACAGATCAAAGGTGGTTTACATTTCATTGCTTTCAGTTTATATTTTAACTTAGCGTACTGTCCTATCTTTTTCTGATTTCGAGTTGTAGGAGGCCTTGAATTCTTCTCAAGTTATATCGCTTCACTGTTAATCAATGCAGCTGCTACCAAAGGAGAGGAAAAGGAACAAGAGGCAAAGCAGACAGAAACATACATTAAAACATTTATGTGTCCACGGCCTCCTCACATGTCCCATACAAACTTTAACACTCTTATGTCTTTGTGATTGTTTTATAAATAATGCAATCAAGCATTTAGCCGCTTTATTCGAGGTTTCTACAAGCAGTCAGTAACTCACACAACCACATGCATACACATGACATACAGTATACACACTGCATACACAAGTCCTGTAAGACACAGCTACTACTATAGTATGTATACATGCACAAGCACATGTTGTAAGTTTGGGTTCTTCACATCGGGCCATGTTCTTGGAGAAATACACATAAGCTCTGGTCTGTCTTTACTCTCCTCTGGTGTCTCTGCAGCAGTCTGTCAGTATCATACAGTTTTCAGTTCAGCATCTCAGCCAGACTCTTTTCTTCACATTTCTTTAAAAACAGTCATCATCTGGCTCTTAGTCTAAAAGGGTTTCAATGAAATGTTAGCATGTCTGTTGTAAATACTTGTTTGGCTGTTTTGTTTCACGAGCAGTGATCGTGTCACACTCTGCTGTTTAATGACTACACATGTGCTGAATAGTGAGTGTTTTGTTTTTTGGGTAAACACGTTTCTTTTTCATTGAAATCAATGAATTTCAAAGTAACTCATCCAGCTGCATTGTAGGTGTGAGGTTCAGATTTTTAACTGTGACACATAATGAGCAATTAAATATTAAATACAGGTCGACCTGCTTTGACAAAGATGCTGTCTTTCAGTTCAACTAGGTCGGATATTAGAATGTGTTTTTTGACCGTTAACTATCTACTATCTGGACACCTTCCAATAAAAATAGCAACAGAGAGACTGTGACACGTTAATAAGGGGTCAACAGAAAAAATGAACATGTTTTGAAATAAACTTTTGAATAAGACAAACTAAAATACAAAACTTTGTTGAAATGTTGCTTTTCAAGTTCTATCATTTATTTCTTAGTTCTGATTGGCTATTGCTTGTAATCTATACTTCATCAGATTGCGCTATGAGACTACTAGTTCCACAAATATAACAACACTGATAATCAGAAAAGTGCTGAATATCAGTCGATAATTGACCCCCGATGTTCATGCAGGCCACAACAGAAGCTGTGAGTGGCTTATATGTTTAAGAAATGCATTTTAGTTTTAAAGGCAATCACAGACTATTTGCATTATTCACTTGAATTATTCTCGATGAGTATTTTATGTACATTTTTTACATTACATTACAGCAAAGTTTTCTGTGTTTTCACTTTGTCCATCATCCTGACAGGAAATTGAAGAAGCTGGTGCGTGCATTGAAGGAGAAAGAATCAGCCCAGACAGAGAAGGAGGAGGAGAGGCCTCCACAGCAGTGGAACCTGGACTACGCTCTCGCTCCCTTTGAAGGCCTCACGCCGGAGTACATGGAGATGAGTGAGTCTGCACGCACACACGGAGATACATAGCTGCTGAGACAAAGAACAGTCATTAAGTCACCGACATAGTTTTAAAATGAGTGTTCCTGAACGTCACTGAAACGTCTTGTATAATCTGTCTCTGTGAGGACGCTCTCAGGTAAAAACTCCCACCTGCACTGAAGAGCTTCTATTTGTTTACATTTGTCTGATAAAGTAAATAGCAAAATCTTCAGGAGGAGGTCAGGGTGGTGGACACAGGAGCCCAAGAAGCTGAATTTTAAATGGGAGGCCTCTGCTTATATCCTGTTGTTTTCCAACAGTCAGACGTCAGTTCATAGCTGTGTAGCAAACACACACTACATATACAATAATTCATTTACATTCATGTGTGTCACCAACCACAGTACATAAACACTGGAAATGCAGTGGCAGATTAAATCTTTATGCTCCTTTGTCATAATCAGTCTCAGCTGTGTATTTTAAACATGTAAGAGACAATCTATTTGGAATTGCTTTTGATTGCATCCCCCATCTCACCAGTGCTTGAGCTAAAATGCCTGAATAGATTTTGTGTTTGTTGTTTTGGATGTGTCTTGAATTTAGCTGGAAAAGTCAAAGGTGTACTTGGAGTTTCTTAATTATTTCAGCAAACAAACACATGTTTATATTGTGTAGACTTGTCATTTGTGTGGCGAACGTTTGGAGAAAAAGGCCACCGTGTTAGATGGCTAACAAGCAGAGCGACTGTGGGTTCTTCATCTGTTACACAAATACATAAAATGTGAATCAGAACATTCACTTTTCAGGGAAGCCGTTTCTGACCCTATTGGAGCAAGTAGACACCTGCTCCATCAGCAGTATGTGATCTTAAAAAATAATAAAAGTAAACTCGGGAGTCTCTGAAATATCTCCAAATTATGAAAGTCAGGGAATGTGAGTATAAAACGCTAAAGCTACACTTCCTTTCTGCATGCTTTTAAATCTTTAAACTGCAGACAGAGTGTAAGCTGTGCAAACAAGACTTTCAAGGTTACAGTAGAGAGGAAAAAAAAAAAACGGGAATCAAATAATAACCAGAGGCTCATTACATTTCATTCTGACAAAGACAAAAGTAAAAGACAACATGGCGTGAGGGGAAAATTCAACATATGGAGACGAAGCTAAATAACACAATCGAGATTCAATCAAAATGTAGACAAAGTCCAACTTGTTCTTGGTTTATTTTTTTTTCTGCACAAAAATTTCGTCTGCAAAACACTTCAGGTCATTTGTAGGTTAAATAGTTTAAAGGAAGGACGGTTATGTGCTAATAAAAGTTTACTGATTCACAGCCTGCGGGAAAAAGTTACTCTATGGAGCTGTAGACGCCCCTCTTGTTCTATTACAACCAGCTGTAGTCACAATAAACCAACACCTGCTCAGTCACAACTTGTAAAGAACTAAGTGGAGTAAAACTTTGAATATTTATTTGCAAGATTTAACGTCGTACAATAACTTTAGCTGACTTTCATAAGAGTTGTTAAAGATCCTTCCTCACATGTTCTAAGACAAAACCAATACTCAGCTTAGCATAATAATTTGTGTCTGACATTTTTCCACAAAACATTTCAATCACTGCATGTAAAATTCTTTAAACTGCATTCAGTCCCTCACCTTTGAAAAACCCAGAATCAATGAATATGCTAATGTTGTTTGTTCCAGTGTTCAATGTCAAACCACTTCCTCTCTCCTCTGTGTGTGTGTGCAGTGGAGGCGTTCAGCACCACACTTAACCACCATATTGCATATTGGACCATAATTGACTTCCAAATTAGTTGCAATATCAAGAAATCTTTCAGCACATAAGTATCTGAAAACTGTGAATTAAAGTGAGCACAAAGAAACTTTTCACCTTCAGCAGATGAAAACAATAAGACTTCCAGAGTAAACGGTGCTTCTGCACTATGAAGGGCAAACACTGAAGTGGAGCGACAATAAAACTTATTTCTTAGTGGATTTGGGCTGTAGAGTTACTGATTTAAATAAGTATGCCAGCGTTTGTCTTTCATGTGACTTCTATTTACATAATAGTTAAAACAAAGTGGGTGAAATGCAAAACAGTAGGAAGTATTAGCACTCACAGTCGGCACTTAATGTTGAAGGTTTGGACTCAGCTTCTGCCTTCAATGTGAAAAAGCAACGAGAGCTTACAAGCTGGTGTGAGTTTGCCCTCTCTCAATCTCTTTCACAAACAGTAAGTAATACCACAGCTAGCCTTAATAGGAAGCGAGAAATCATCTTCAGCAGCAGTTACAGTAACATAACTCCACAACCGCAACCGCAACAGCGTGAGTCAAATCATCCAGCTACTGCTGAAAGCCAGGAAAAAAAAACGACTACATACATAATCTGCGCAGCATTTGTAAAACTACTGGAAGATTTCTGCTTTCTGACAATTTCTGATTAAAAAAATGCATCATATCAGAACTACAGGTGCTGCTTTTACATCCCTAATCTACTTTAGGCCTTTGTACATTTCTTTTTTTAAGACACAACTGCAAAACAATAGCCAATAGATTGATGGTAACTGAAGACAGTGACGTAAAAGTTGTGTCTGACTTCCACACAGTGAAGGTAATGATTGGACTGAAGTGTCAGTGTGCCATCTAGGGCTCCAACAGTTTTCTTCAACAATCAGTTAACTCATTTTAACTGAAAACTACTCTCTTCTCTGTGTCTCAAGTGTAGACTCTCAGTTATACAGGTCATGGTTACACCAGGAGCTTTAGTAACTTGTACTTCTCATCCAAGAGGCTTCTTCAGTCCTGGGCTGTGGTTCTTGAATGAGAGGTGAACCGTCTCCAAGAACCTAAAAGAGAAGTCATGTTGCTTTTTGCTTAAGCTCTTGGGAGTATCTTTTGTAAGGTTCCTTTCATCGTACCCTTAATCATAATTATGAGCATCAGTAATAAAAGACAAACACGTAATTTGGTGATATGCAGACCGTTGATGAATGCAGAAGAGACACAGATAATGTTTAAAAGAGACAAGACGCTGTGATTGATGGCCGCCCTGCTGTTTCATTAAGAAGACAGCCAACACTGCAGCACAGCTTGATATCTCTGATCATTTCCTCGTGGCTGAGGAGTCAAAGTGCAGCAGCAGTTCAGCAAACATGCAGCAGCAAGCTTGACAAAGATCAAGGCGAGATGGACTGTTCCCGTGTTTCCTCACAGTAACTTTCATGTTCTCTCATGACATGCCTCGCATTCCTCTTGATGCATATGAACAGTTGGTGTGTTGATCCAGTCCAGTTATGATACAGAGACATGATTTAACACTATATATATTGTGCATTTATTGATGATTATTCCTTTGAAAAGGCTGTTAACTGATAGTATTCAGCTGGTGATGGTGAAGCTGTGGCTGGATATGCTTATTTTTCAGACTTCTGTGGCTGCTGTGCTTTAATTTCTGTGGCTATCGATATGTCTAGCTGTTTTTTTTGTACCTGCAGTGCTTCTCTGACAGCTATATTACCAACGCACCACTGGAGTTCAGTAATGCAACAACTTTGTAACAACCCTCAGCTAACAAAACTATCACTGCACACATACATACACAACCTCTGCATGTAGTCACTATTACACTTATTGGAAACAAATGTGTCACAGCCACAGTCATATAACAGTCAAAGCACCGCCACAGTGACAGTGACAGCTTTATCATCTTAAAGCTTCAGCCATGATCACGGTTTTTTCTCAGCAGCGGTAAGTGATGGAGGTAGCCAACCAGCTGCTCTTGATTTCTTTCTTTATACAATCGTGCAGACTTGTGCCTGTGCAGCCACAGCTGAGGGTGCACTGACCCTCTCTGTAGTCAGAGCCAGCAGGGGTCTGCTCTCGTACCTGATAATGTTTCATAAAACAGGTCAGACTTTCTCTAAGGGTCATAGAAAATGTAAACATTATTGCAAGGTAATACAAAAAAAAAAAAACGTTTGACCTGAAACTCTGACCTTTTGGAGCGCCGTAGAAACAGATGACTTCTGCATGTGAAGTTTTGTGAACCCGAAAAACATGTTCTGCTCATTTGAAAACATTCCTGAACCTGTAAATCAGAAGTAAAGTTTTGTTGGCAAAATTTAATGTTCGATGTCCTCCAAAAGATGGTCCAGGGTTAGAGAATGAGAAACATCTCAACCACAGGGACAAACTAAAGTGCTGCTACTCATCACTAATATAAACACCAGCAGATATTTAGATCTTTGTTGTGAGGACAGAGAAAGGTGGGAGCAAAGTCAGAGCCGAGGCAGAGAAAAACAGAAAGAAGACTGGGTTGACGTCGCTGCAGGGCACCACGAGGAATGTCAGAAATGTCTGAGCTCCTCATGCAAACACACACTCACACATTGTGAGGACTATCCATTCACACACTCACACATTGTTGTGAGGCTGTGAATGGGTAGTCTTGGGTTTGTGTTAACTCATTTGTTATTTATTTATGTGCCTGTCTGTGCCTGTGTGCTGTATGTGTGAGTCCTGGCGCTTGTGTTCAGGTGTGTGCGTCGCTCTTTGTGTGCCAGGCTCGAACCCGTCAACCTCGGCTCAGGTAGATAGCCAGGTTATTCTAAGCTTGCCCTCTAGCGCTCGTTGGCCCGCTGTCGTATTTTCTTCCTGGCTGCTCATTGTCTCAGCGTGGCGTCCTGAGGTGAAGCCGTCAGTCTCCCGCTCGCTGGAAATCCCCGTTCCCACACTGCTTAAGTTCCACTGCTCCGATCAGAGCGGTGCATCAGCCAGAGTCAGGCCAACCGCTGTGTCTTTCTCAGGTTTCCTTTCACATACTTAGGAAGCAGGTGAATTGATGATTAATTAACACATTAGAAAAGTTCATTGCTGCACACCTTTCTCACTGCTTCACTCAGTCCAACCAATCAGACTCAACGACACCAAGAAATTATTTGTATTTTCTTACTATTGAAATCTCACCTGAAATGATTGCAGGATGAATCTTGTTGAATTCCTTCATTAGACAAATTCATTTATATTTCCATTTGACTGTGTAACTCACAAACATGCAGCATCATATATTACATAGCTAGTGTCCTGATAAACTCACAGCTACTAAATTTTGCTTGACCTGCTCGTGTCCTTGTCCAACTAGAAAAGAAGAACCTGCTCTTAACATTAACCAGGGCTCCAGTGTGCTACCAATTTTGGATGCACATGCAGTCAGAGATCAAGTTCGACATTTCTCAGTTTCATCTTGGTAAATCTGACATGAGAACACCGTATTTCACTGTTTTCAAACTAATTTTTGGTTTCACATCTATCTGAGTTCTTGCGCTGAAGCAGCTGAGGGGGGAGATTTCTTTGTGCTCAGTCACTGAGTCGACTGATGCAGGCATTTAAAGAACATCCAGAACTTGTAGCTTCAGAGGACAACCTGGGTAGTCTGACTCCCCAGATGCAGGATGAGGGTATAAATCACAACTTATATTAGGTGGGTTTGTCCTTCTTTCCGCTGAGTGTGTGTTACCATTTTCTTCACGATGGGAAGCAACAACAGCTACCTTCGAACAAGAAACTGTTTTGATGAGGATTTGTATCGTGCAGTACAAACAACGTGCAAAAACAAAACAAGTCAGAGTGTTTTTCCCCCCTATAGCAGAACACTAGTGTGGTGCAACCAGACCTTTCTGTTCTACAGAATGGGCTGGCAAAGCGAGACTACAACCTGGGTTACACTTTCCCCCTCTAAAATGCTCGAGTCTCATCATGGACATTGGTCTCGCTGCTCCACCCACAAGTAAATTCTAAACCTCTGGAAAACACTAAGATATGATAATATGGCCATTATTATCATTTAAGGCCAAGAGTGAGGCAAAAGCATGGCTGGTATCAGTGCTTTTATGATTGTAGCATCAAGGTTCTGAATTAAAACAAGAAATCTGTCCGGTTCCATGACAGAGAAGAGAAGTTCTCCCTGTAGTGTTTCAGCACCGGGAAAGCAGCAATATGAGGCAATGTACGTCCATCCATTATCTATACACCGCTTAATCCTCACTAGGGTCATGGGGGGGCTGGAGTCTATCCCAGCTGACTTAGGGTGAAGACAGGTTCACCTGGACAGGTCACCAGTCTATCACAGGGCTACACTTAGAGACAGACAACCAAGCACACTCACATTCACACCTACGGACAATTTAGAATCACCAATTAACCTCAACATGTTTTTGGACCGTGGGAGGAAGCTGGAGAACCCGGAGAGAACCCACGCTGCACAGGGAGAACATGCAAACTCTATGCAGGAAGATCCCAGGTGTCCTCACCGGGACGCGAGCCGGTGACCTTCTTGCAACCCTATGAGGCAATGTGATGAACTTAAAGAAAGAGCTGCCGTTCACCAGCTTTAAGTCCCAAGTTATCATTGTGGAAAAAAAAAAACATTTATCCGAATCTTTATTCCTGTTTACAATCATTTACATACTTTGTTAAGAAATTATTAAAGTGTATATAAACCTACCAAAAAATAATGCTTAAAATGAATTATTTGCCACCAACTGGCAGTGAAAAAATGTGGGTGCATCCAAATTAATATTATCTTATGTTAATATTATATCCAAATTAATTGAATTTCCCTTCTGGGATAAATAAAGTATTTTTCATTATGTGCTAGTGCATGTCAATTAAACTGTTAGCTACACCAGTGAAGCCAACATGTTAGTCTGCAGCGCTGATTAAACCTCGACCTTATGTGTGACTTTTGAGTTACATGTTTAAAGTTTGCAGTTAAAATATTTGCAATCAAACTTAAAGCCCAGTTTTATAATCTCACCCTAACCCATAAATTGTAGGCAAAGACAGAGAAGCAAGGACTGCCTAATGTGCCCAGAGGTGTTTTTTTCTTTTTTAAAGATGTCTGCATTTGCAAGCATCTATCTAAGCATGAAAATGAAAAATACTTTATTCATAAAGTATTTTTCATTTTTCACATCTCAGGCAAAATACAGTTCCAAAACTGTCTGACTGCAGTTGACCTCTGACCTTTGTCAATCCACAAGCTTGTGTCTCTTAAGCTGCCTAGTGTTCTATGAACTGAGCTCCTTTTTAGGTTGACAATGCGCGGCAACAGTTCTACAAAACCCAGCGTGTGTGTGTGTGTGGACATGTGTGATTGTGATGTACTGTACAAATAATTCCCAGTTATCAGTCGTGGATTTTGTGTCACTGTGTTATCTAATCATGTGGGTTTACACAACAGCCACACATACAGTGTAGATACACACACATACCACACACTGCTTAATCATAAAAAAGTCCCAGTTCAGCTGGTGCAGCAGCGTGTTTAACCTTAAAAGGCATCATCTGAACCACAAAGCCGGTCTGGACCGACAGCGTGACTCCTGACCAGACGAATGACTGTTCACGAATGTCAATCTGTCAGCCTCTTAGTGGCTGTTTAAAAAATGTGCTTCAGATAATGTGGATTTGATTCTTTTCTTTCATGCAAACCTCTCATATGCTATCAGATGTCAGACAATTCTTTGGCTCATTTCTGCTGTTGACCTTACCAGAGTGACATTGAAACGAACTTCAGAAACTCTGAAGTAGATCCAAGATTTTATGAAGTTGGAAAAACTCAGTCTCTTAAAGAAATGTGCCAAATTCTGACAGCCTACGTGCTTACATGTCAAACATACATTTGAACTTCATAAGAATCAGAGTTTGTTTATGAAACCTTTGATAAGATGGTGTTTGCAGTAGAAACGTATTGTCTCTGACCTTCAACTAAATGATGTAAAATGATGTGTTTGAGGTTGTGCTGCATATGTCATATATCTGAATGTCATAGTTATAGTACAATTAGTTACATTTTACATTTTGTGCCAAGTAAGCGAATGAGAAACAAGAAGCACTGGGGCCTCAGACACAAATCAATCAAATGTCATATCCCTAGCATGGTTTTCATTGATCTGATCAGAATTATTGGTTTATTGTCCAAGTTCTATATATAAACATTCACTTGTACCACATTACCAGCATTAATTCAACTATATTATTAAACATCCCATATCTACCGTAGCATGTGATCATTCCCGCCTCTCTCTCTCTCCCTCTGCAGTCATCCAGTTTGGTTTCGTCTCTCTGTTCGTGGCTTCTTTCCCACTGGCTCCTCTCTTCGCCCTGCTCAACAACGTCATCGAGATCAGACTGGATGCCAAGAAGTTTGTTACGGAGCTCCGCAGGCCAGTTGCTGTACGCGCTAAAGACATTGGTGAGCTGATCGGACACACTCAGTAAGGGTTGGTTATGGATGTCCATTAGATTTAGGTAGCATATTATTAAATCTGATCATATTTTACTCTACAACCCCCCTCAAAAGAAAGTATTTCCCCTTCATCGTTGCCTTGTTTTTTAGTGGTAAAGCTTGTGAACCACCACCTCAGGCATCATGGGATATCAGAACGTCCCTTCACCAGGCTGAGTACATTCTTTGGAGTTAGTGGTCAGATGTATGGCACAAAGGCCGACTGTGAAAGTGAAACGCAAGCTTTTACCTACAACAAGCCAAGCAGGCAAACAAAACACAGGGAGCAGGTCTGGACTGAGGCAGAATCCAGCCAATAATACAGGCGATAGTTCAACATGAACAAAACCAGAATCCTGGAAAGCTAAAGGACTAAGCACAAAGACAGTCTGGCAAATGTTAGGTAGTGGAGTGGTGGTGTAAATACTGCAGGGCTGATTAGAGTGGAATCAGGTGAATGGAGTAGAGAAGATCCAGTGATGCAGCAGGGCAGATGGGAGTGGCTGTCTGAGGAGACATCATGAAAATGTACAAACCAGATTGAGTGAATGACTGATTAAATGAATGAGAAAAAACAAAAAACTGTGACAGATCACACTGACTGAAGGCAGACCAACAGGTTTCACTGCCAAGTTTACAAACCGATGCCTCTTAGCAGTTCATTAGAGTGATGTTGTTGCTGTTGGCTGAAACCTCATGTCTCTCCAGTGGTCATATTTTTAGCAGAAAATCATTTTTCATTATAGCTTGAACACTGTGAATTTCTGAGTTCACCCACAGACTGTAAAGTGCTTTACTAGACCCAAAGGTCACGCTGTAAGGAAGGATAACATGTTGCTGTATGGATTTACAAAAAATTCTGACCTTTCTCTGGGTAATGTCAGGAATTCTTTTGCAGCAAGCTAAGACGTTTTTATTTTCCTCTGTCATGCTAGAAGCATGGCTGTAAGGATCATCCTGTTGATCACTCCATCTATTACTATGGTCCAGGCTGGATCTACATCCAAGAAACTCGTTGCTGGTAAAATTTTAATCTATTGTAACAGAGAGAATGGCCAAATTTGTCCAGCATCTCTCTGAAAGAAATGTAAAAGAAAGACAATTACAATGTGACAGTGGACACACAACTCTTTTCCTATTGGGTCATTCAGAGTGGCTCAGCAGCTGTAACCTAATGAACTGTGGAGTTTATCAGAAACTCTCTGTCTAGATTACAGATGTTGACAAAGGCAGCTTCCTGAGACTAAGACTTTATTCCTCATAAGGGCTGACAGCTCTATTTTTTATTCTACTTATGTAACACACACGCACGCATGCGCGCGCGCACACACACACACACACACACACAGTTTGTCCAGTGCATTGGCTTTATGACTAAATACTACTAAATGTAAAATTACTGATATAATACTGATATAACTACAGCTATTAACTGCTGTCCTCACAGAGTGGAAGCATGAAAGTAGAGTGAGGTAATGCTGTTTATATAGTTTAGTTTAGACCTCACAACAATCACATCACAATCCATTAACAGTTGTGTTTCTGTGCTTAACACTGACATTTCTCTCATTCTGTCTTTTCCTTTCTCTCTCTTTCTTGCTCTTCTTTCTATAGGTATATGGTACAACATACTGAGTGGAATGGGAAAATTCTCAGTCATTATAAATGTAAGTACCCTGCATTTTGCGATCTGCTTATTAAATTAGTGATGAAGGCAGACACAGGCACAATAAATGTATGAGGATGAGAATTCTATATTGAGTACTGCACATAAAGCATCTGCTGAAGGTCCTACATGAAGCACTTAAACACTCTAATATATCATCTATAGCTTAGAATTTTAACACATTTTAGTGTAATTAGTGTTCAACTCACAGCCTCCCTGCTGCATCTTAATCTGTGTCCAGGTCAGATTTAGGGGAAACTGTGACGAGTGCTGTTTAACACAACACTGTTGTTTTTTTTTTTTACATGAAGTTCAGTTTATTTATTTTATGAAAACAGTTGGTTACCATATTCTGTGGCTCTGGAGGGAGCTGTATCAAGTCTGGAAAAGATTTATGATTGCAATGCAATACTGTATGACTTCCATTATCTTACCACACATTGCCACTCGTTTCGAACTTTTCTGTTTTAACATTTCAGCATGTAATCTACCTTTCACCAGTTCCCCTTTGTGCATGCCTTCATACACTTTTAAGTCGTCAATTGCTGACACTTATGACAGTTTATATTAAATTGTATAGTAAACACATATTGAACCATGTTTTCTCTCAGACGTCGTCTGTCATGACCTCATATGATCCCAATATTACATCTGAAACACTGTAATATGCTGATCCGTAGAGGTCAAGGCCTGTGTGTGTGTGTGGAGTCAGGAAAATTTCTGCTTGGGATTTGTCTTTGGCCAGCTAACCAAATCCTATTCCGTTTACTTTTAATACTAAACAGATTTGTGGAGGGTTCAAAAACAAGCAGCAGGAGTTTTTATTTATTCTACAGCTCTCAGGGATTGAACTCACATACACACACTGAAGCTGCCTCAGGAGCAGTGGAAAATAAATGTAACAGAACTCCCCTTTTGTTCATGTGTCTCTATCAGTTGTACAGACTTTGACAAGTGTTCCTAATTGAATATGCTTGAATGCTCCACTCAAGTGCAGATGGGTGACAAATTAAAGGAAAAACCTAAATAGACAGAATGAAAGACAGTACATAGATGATAGAACAGCTCCAATGCACCTTTGATTTTCCAAGTTTCTGCACTCTACTGGAGGGACAAACACCAATCCCTCACTCGGTGTCTGGTGATGTGGTGGAGAGCGCTGTCTGACACGACAGTCCAAAATGTTTCATGGGCGTTCAAATGGACAGTGTGAGGGCCTTGCGATCCAGGAAGAGACTTCTCCCATCATGATAGAAAGGTTTCATCACTGGTTGAAGGTGATCACTCAGAATAACATCGTATGGGGCGCCACTATAGCTCACCTGGTTGAGCTGGCGTCTTATGTACAGGGCTACAGTCCCAATGTGGAGGTCATGAGTTCGAATCCTGCTCATGACCCTTTCCCATACGTCCTCCCCCTACTCTTCTCCCCTACTTTCCTGTCTCTCTCTCACTGTACTATCAATAAAGGCACAAAGGCCAAAAAAAATAACTTAAAAAAAAAAGAATAGCACTGTATTGATTTGCAGTGATCCTTTCTTTTGGACCCAAATCATGCCAGAGAAATGCTCCAATAGCAACACAGAGCCATCAGATACCCCTCACCGTAGGGATCAAGGGTTCAGTTGTTTCCCTTTAGTTTGTCTATTATGTCTGAAATTCACTCTGTACCATGTTTGTGTTTTTTACTTCTTGACACCACTTTTACTCAAAAGCGATGGTAGAAATTTTAGGACCCATGAAGAGTTTAACAGTGTAAAACTTGTTGACTTATGATGTACTCATGACAGAAGCTCTCTCACTCTGTCCGTCTGTCTGTTTCTCTTTGCGTCTGGAGGCCTTTGTGATCTCCTTCACGTCAGACTTCATCCCTCGGCTCGTCTACCAGTACATGTACAGTCAGACGGGCACCATGCATGGCTTCATTGACCACACACTATCCCACTTCAACGTATCCAATTTTAAACCTGGCACGGCACCGCATAACTCTGAGCTCGGAGACATCACCGTCTGCCGGTAAGACACATACACACACATACACACCCAAACACATCCATATACTTCACTAATGACACATACTGATGGCCATTTTAATTTGATAAATTATCTTTTTGACAGGCAATTGACCACAAAAATAGCCACCTGGTCAATAAAAACAGCCATTCATACACTTAGACATGCACATATACACACATTTGCACACACACACATCCCTACTGTTTTCTGACATGTTTTTCCTTTTACTGCCAGTGGAGTGCTTGGTGAGCATTCAAGAAAATAGCCAGGTCAATTCATCTATTTTTACATCAAAGGAATTTAATTTGGGGGGGTTTGTCTAAGGGGATAAAACAGCATTACTCCGCCTTGTCAGAGCTTATAACTTTGACCTTAACAAATACATGCACACTCCCCTTCAGTCTTTGTAACAACAATGATCAACTACCACTGTTATGCTTGTTTCAAGGCTAGAAACCATTTACTCTTGCTGAAGGATGTTTCTGTTTCTTAGCTGATGTGAATCTTCTCCTTATGTTTTAACCTTCGTCTTTAACATTTGTACTGAGAAACTTTTTTGTAATTCCATAAGTAATGTTTGCCCTTCCTTACATTCACACTTCAAGTTGTATGGTGCAATCATTCACTTACTGTCACCACAGGCTCCAAAGGGTTTTACACTTTAAGAACAGCTCGCTCATTCTTTCTTGTGTCAAAGAAGCACTCCTGGAGGTTATGTTTTTGTGTTATGAAAAGTTTAGTAATGAAGCAGACAAGGCTGCGACATTACAGGCCTCACTTTGCACCCTGACCAAAGTGTTTAGTCAAAGTTAGTGTTGAGGTTATTAAGCTGTCAGAATTGGATACACATAGTAATATATCATCTGCATAGAGCAGCAAATAGTCTTTTATATTTAAGTACAGGCTTATACAGAAGGACTGATGCATTACATGAGTATAAATTGCTTATGATACGGTGTGATGTGATGCAATATGATACAATAAGTCTTATTATTTAATGCCACAGTGGGCAAATTTGTATTGTCACAGCAGCAAAAGGATAGTGCAAACATTTAAGAAATGCCAGAATAGCCATGGATTCCAAAAATAAATAAAGTGGTATGTAATGTGCTTTTTATACACCACCTGGACCTGGATGTCAGGCAAACTTATATGGCTGGGTTGGACAATAGCAAGTATTTAGTTGAAGCCTTTGTAGTTTTAGACCTTTTAAAATAAGGCTTAAAGTCACCAAAAAACTCTTATTGGTGTATCTAAATTATGTATTTAGAAGTTTATACCATTAAAAAATAAAAATCAAAAACCCTTCCTGCCTTAAAATGAGCTCGTGAATAAACTGCACAAGTCTGAGGTGGGTTAGAGTTGCTGATTTCTATATGATTTCCTTGCCCTTAGTCGGAAGAAGAGGTTGGGAATCATTACATCTTTAACTGCTGAGAGCTATATGGTTGTGGAGGTTTGCAGGTGACGTAATATAAACATTTCTGCTGCCACGTACTTTACCACTCCAACATCCATTTGATAACATAATGACCTTTGCTCTTAGCTATGGACGTGAAACACCTAATAAATGTGAGAACAACAAGTGACCAACAGTTTTTCAATGAAATCAGTCACGTTGAATCTGGAGGCAACAAGAACAAATCTGAAAGATTTTCTCACTGCGGCAACGATGCACCACGTTATTAGCTGCTGAAGACAGTGCACTATTGTATCTTCTATGCATTTTCACTCATGCCAGTGGCAAACGTCTCTTTCATAATATCAATATGAAGCGCTGTAGAAGAAAAGGTCATCGATGCTGGCGCCCACAGACGCCTGAGCCCGGCCCAGTGTTACATAAGACAGCAAAGAATTACAATGCAAGAATGCAGTCTTTGTGTCAGTGTAGTGTGACATGTCACATCGGAAACATGACGAGATGCTGTACGCCTTGATCACTTATGTGCGTGAAATTAGGTGGAGGATGTTCCAAGAAGGGTTTGTTCTCTGCAGTGTGTGATGACATATAGCAAAATTACAGACTGTAGCTGGGCGGTGTATAAGCTACTGATGATGTGGGCAATGCCTCTGGGCTTAGGGCAAGTGATTCAGCTCTGTCGTTGCCCCTGACAGTTAGTGTCTTTCTTTTTCACGTTGTCTATCTGATCCAGTTAATTTTGGAGCTGCAGCTGCATGGATGAATACGTGCGAGAAGGAAGAAAAGAGGTCAAGATGTGATGAACAGTGTCAAACAGTGGATGAGAGATGAGCGAAGATAGCATTGATCAGTTGATCAGATAAGAATCCAACGGACTGAGACATCTTGTTAGACAACGGTTAGTGATTTGGAGAGATGGAAAGATGTGGAAGTAACTCAGAGGACAGGAAGGAAGGAAGGGGAGAGATACTGTAGTTGGATGGATGGATAAATAGATGATGGTGTGACAGAAGCCAACAACCAAGGTTTTAAATATTTAACAACATTTAAAAACAGCAGTGTGAGGAACTTGAAGATAGTTTCTGCATCAGTGGGCAGAGCATCACTGTACATCTCTGCAGTCATGTTTTCTCTACTGTATCATCAGTGCTGAAGAGCTGAATAAAAATGTAGCTTAACTATAAATTCTGCTTGAAGGCTAAATTCTCGATTTATTAATACATTGTTAGTGATGTGAAATGTACAGTATAGCTGGAGATTGATCCGGCCCATAGCTGAGCATGGTTTTGATGTGACTTATTTCCGTATCATTGGCACTCTAGTCATAGTGACATTGATTGCTGGAGTGAGTGTTGTGTGTCTGTTGAGTTCACGGTTTAACGTGACACCAGACAGTTTTCTATCTGCTTCTAAATCACAGATATAGAATGCGTCCTGCTTTCTTCAGTATTTCTGTAACTCATGCAAATGTAGGAGTATGTCTGAGTCAGAAATAACTCTGGGCAAATCTTCTGAGCCGTGTCTGCCTCGGTTGCATACGGGCCTAATCACAAGAGCTGTGACACTTGTGCTGTAATCACGAATGCAGGAGTCACACTGATGTAACTGATTGCAGTCGAACAGTCCATTTCTCCTCCAAATGGATTCTGACCAACTTGACCATCCATCCATCCATCGGTCCATTATCTATACACTGTAGTGCAGGGGTGCCCAATCCTGGTCCTCGAGAGCCCCTATCCAGCATGTTTTAGATGTTTCCTTCTTCCAGCACACCTGATTCAAATGATCAGCTCATCATCAAGCTCTACAGAAGCCTGATAACGATCCTGATCATTTGAATCAGGTGTGTTGGAAGAGGGACACATCTAAAACATGCAGGATAGGGGCTCTTGAGGACCAGGATTGGGCACCCCTGCTGTAGTGTATCTATCTAGTCCTCTGTAGCATCGCGGGGGTGCTGGAGTCTATCCCAGCTGACTCAGGGTGAAGGCAGGGGACACCCTGGACAGGTCACCAGTCTATCACAGGGCTACACTTAGAGACAGACAACCAAGCACACTCACATTCACACCTACGGACAATTTAGAATCACCAGGTTACCGCAGTGTGTCTTTGGTTTGTGGGAGGAAGCCGGAGAACCCAGTGAGAACAAGTTTCAGAAGGAGTGTGCTGTTATCCCCCTTTAGTTTTGGAAAGAAAAATTTCCATGATGCTGTAGACAAATTTGGTCTTAATTTTTGTGAAACACTAAAAATACTTTGTTGTTGTTGCTCGCCAGCTGAAAGGACTCTGTCTTGTCTTTGGCAGTGTACACTAAGTCACTGGGTATTTACCACTTTGCTCAAAGTTCCAGTTATGGAGTGAATACATATATCCTATTATTGTTCACAAAATTCAAAGTAGCAGAAACAAAAAACTAAATCATTTATCATTTTGTTGTTTTCTTGGGTTTTTTTTAAAAAGGGTGATTCAGGTCTGAGGCCCTGTTGTGGCTGAATTGATCGAATCATTAAATTCTGACTAATTCCTTATACTGCCATTGCTCAGGTCTACATGTGAAAGGGGGCCAAGACAAAGACCAGAAGAACAATACATCTTTTCTTATCTACATTCCTGATCTGTAAGCTAGCTTTAAATCAAATTATATTTTCCCAGAAAGCTTAAGAGTGATTCACGGAAAACAAAGAACACACACAGAATATGTTGTAAGCAGCACTTATTACAATAACGAGAAACAACATGCGCTCACAACAAATTCTTGTGACAAAGAGGCTTTATCTGTTATGAGTTACAGTTGTACATTTTTAAACTTTGTTGGTGTTTCAGGCATCTATCTTATGTCAAATGAGCTCACAGGAAGTCGACTGTGATTGCACTCTTATCGCCAGGAGGTTAAAGAAGAGCCGAGGAGCTATATGATGGATTACCACACAATTTGTAATCGAACGTTTCCTCTTTGTGCATTAGGAAAAAAAACATTTATTCTTCATTTGTTGTGTTTGGCTCAGACATAAGCTCAGTTCAAAAATTAAAAATCTAAAAGACAGAAACATTGGAGCAACACAGCACTCAACATGTCATCCTGCATGAACTATGAGGATGTCTCATGGGCACACTAACTGACAACCTCCTTCAGTCTGGAGCTCTGGCTCTAGTTGATGTTTTGCGTAGACTGATTGTGAAAACAAAGCCTTGACATGCATCATTTGCTCTTGATTTATTAAAATCAAACCAGTGGGATATGAGAAGTTGTATGTAAAACATAATGTACACATCACATAGAATCAATCACCTTTGTTGGGTGCCTCATTCATACTGCTTTTCAAGCAAGACTAGGTCTGCGTTATAAATTGTTTTTTTTTTTTTTTTTTTGTAATTTCAAGTATGTACCACAGCTGCCGTTACAAATTACGTATTGTTTCATGCAATGTGCACATAATTGTAACATACGTTATATGTGCCTAAACTCTGACCGTTGCAGTCTGCAGTGGGAATTAAGCCGTCGTCCATAGTCGTCTGTCTTTGGCCTGTAAGCGGCTCAAGCTTGTTTATACTTGTGCGAGACACCATGACATATATG